AAACAAACGAACCAGCTTCAAATGAATAAATAAGATATTTCTGATAAATTGAAAATGCTTGATTATTAACCAACTGTTTTTTCTTATTTTGAAGATCAATATTCTTTTCTGCTAGTAGGATAATAACCCCATACAGGATGAAATAACTACGTTGTAAAAAGCTAGGAAATAAAAATCCGCAAAACGTTGCAAAATATTAAAGAGAAAAATTAAAATGGGGTTATAGTTAAAGCGAATATCCATTCTCTTAGAAGTAAAATTGATATTGATAGCACATAGGAAAACTTCGTCATCATTATAGCTGCTGATTTAGATTTCATAATCAAGTTTTTGAATCTTTATAATTCCACTCACAGTTCTGATGAGCTGTATAATTGTCCTTCATTCGACGATATCATACTGGTAGATATTATATACCATACGTTACTTACAATAATACTTCATGCCTGATTTCACTGATAATCTGCAATATAAATTGCTCCTATGATTTCTGTGCAGTCAGCTCCTCATAGCTATCATCACCGCTAGTTACGTGTAAGAAGATCTTATATAAATACTCCATAAAGTCATCATTCATATGAGTCTACTCAAAAAAGGTGTTTTGATGTAATTCGAAATTGCTTCGATTTGATTTTTAGAAACATCAGAGCAAACAGAACCGGATTCAACAAAACTTACAAAATGCAGTACTACTTCACCAAATTACTCTGATAAAGTGAACATTGAAATTCCAACTGATGCAACCGTGACTAACACTGAAAATATTGATCGACAGCTTAAACGTGAACATAAACGACTACTCCAAATAGAAGAGATAGAGAAAAAGAAACAAGCTGGAGAGAGCTTAAACAAAGACCAATTGATAAAGTTAGGCCACAAACAAGCTGTTGAACAGCTCATTGAACAGCTGACGTTACTTAAAACTAACTGACGTTGTCCTGCCCTTTTTTTGACAGCAGAATCGATTTCGTTTTTTACTTTTTCTGTCCCCACCCCACTTTGTTCTAAGTGTTTTTAAATCGAATATAACAGAACCAAACTAGACAAGATTAAGAATACACTAGTCAATTTATTAAATAATTGGTCCACTACCAGTAAACATATGTTATTAGTTAGTAATACTGAGTTAAACAAACTAATGTGATGCAACGGCATTTGTGCATGTTCAATGTAGATATATATATTTTTTCATTAGCGTTTTATAAACCTCAATTTCTATATGGAAAAATATGGTACTTTTAATATCTTTTACAATATGTTTGTATAATCGATATAATATATAAATTATAATCACACTTATTTTGTTGTATAAAAAGTATTGTTGCTGGTTGAAACAAAATTTTGATAAGTGTACACCTATTTAACTCAAAGTTTAATTATGATTATAAAAACAATCTCAAGAACGATTCACGTAACAGGATGCAATTATTTTGTGCAATACTAATTGTATTTATGAAAACAAAATAACTTCAAATTAATAGTTAATATGTAGTTTGCAAACAGTAGTTTGAAATATTTTAATACTATTCTTGTCATGGATTATTCATATTGTGATATGCGAATTTTGTTATAAATAAAATTATTGTAACCATAGTGAATTATATCGTGGTGAATTTTATGCATTTACCGCGAATTCAATATGAAGCATTTGAACATCAATGTTACGTCAAACAAAATGTTTGCAAATGAACAGATGCTTGTTGTCAAAGATAAAAAAAACAAAATATCCTAAGTGTTTTTGTTCCACTGTTAAGTCTTGGTAAAGGCTAGTTAACATAATAACTCTTGTCAGTTTTAATATGACAGGATAAAAAGACGAAAATATTTTCTTGTGTCAACTGATCGTCAACTTTGTTCAATATGATAAGTGTCAAATTTCGTTCTATGTAACATATTCTGTATCGGGTATAACTTATGCCCCGGTCGATTAACAAGTGACGAAATCGCCAATCAGAATACCGACGTCTTTGACCTTGTCCGTGTACTAAACCAATTACAAATATACTAGCACTAGCAGCCTTGAGTTAACTCTGAATCGTTATTGGTCCTCAAATGTGGTAGCTTCTCGCCTTGCCCATTGAGTTCAGAACACAATATTGGCATCCATTGTGTGAATGATATACTTCAGAAATACGTGATTTATATACAAGCAGACCAGACCCCATCTCATCATAAAGTAAAAAAATAAGAATTATACAAGGTCAAGCCAAAAGTGGCTGTATGGGAGGCTGTAAATAATAGATTGGGAACAAATTAAGAATAGTAAGTTGTACAATAGTGACCAATAGGTCAAATGAAAGCTTATGATAAAGAGAGTATAAATATATATAATCTAGCTACTTAATAATTATCCAGTAAGAATATATGTAATAATAGTCCATAAATAATTCTTAGCAGTTACTATCCATTTATTCTTCGTTCGGATTTAACAGGTGAACTATATTCAGTGTGTTTTTACAGTAATTATGTTTCCCCTTGTAATACTTTGTGTTAAAATTAGTACATAAATAATTGTATTTTATGCCTGAGGACAAAGTTTTTGGAGAGTCAATAAATCTTTCTTGCACTAGTCTTTCGTGTTCTAATTTTGCGTTGTGGGAATTGTAGTGATTCCCGTTTCCCAGTAAAAACAATAAGATTGGGGAAGTCCATTATTATTATTATTATTATTATTATCGTCAGCTTTATTCAATATTATATTTTTGGTACAATATAGAATTCTCAGCGTAAAGTATTTCAACAAGTTTCCGTTTCTTTTTTCTTGGTCGGTCCTGGGGATAAATATTGAGTGATCGCCAGTTAGATGTTAGCCCTTCAGTAAATGAACATCTGAATAATGTGCATTCTTTTCGCTGTATATTGCCAGCAACCACATTGTCCCTTATTGAGTTTTTTGTAACTTTGACAACGAAAGGTTGTACACTTTTCAGGAACACAGCAGAATAGGTCATGCGATTAATAAACATAATGATATATTAAAACAAACAAAAATAGATAACTTGTTGAAATATCTAGATGGCAGGAACAGGTAGCCCAGATGCTCAAGCAGGCCGACTGTCAAACAATGGCAGTAAGACTGCAGACACAACATAGTACGTACGTAACAGTGCCGATACACCAGACATAACAGTTTTAGTTCATCCACTTTTCAGAAGTACATAAAAATAAAAGATGGTGTGTGTGTGATACTGATGTCGATAGATATCAGTAGTATGTACCATCAACTGAAAGTGAAATACCTAACAGCAAAGGTGAAGAAGAGCGAAGAAAAGAGAACAATAACAAAGAATGAATATTATAGAAACGAAGGAACAATGAAGTCTGAGATGACTGACTGATATTTGCAAAGGAACAGTCAAGTTTTAGACAATTGATTGACATTTCGCAAATTATTTATTGTATGGCTCTCAGATTTTCCTAAGTTCTGTAATTTTGTGTTTAAATGCATTCGATTGTACCCACTTGTGTCCTCATTCACTGCAATAGACCTAAAACATAACGGTATTTTCTTTCTTACGGTACAACGAAAAGTGGATATGTCCACGTTGCGAACGTCCGTTTCAAGTCACGCCTCTGGTTTTAACTATAGTGGTCCAAAAGTAACAGATCCATATACCCAGAAGACACTACATTTATGATATCTCTCTGATAGCTTATTACTGAAAATGACTTAGCAGTCATGAACTATGTATAATGTTAAAAAAACCCACTGTAGATATTGCCAGTTTAGTGATAGTACATAACATGAAGTGAGTGATTTGTCCGTGAATCCCTCTGTGTCTTCCTAAACATTATTATCAGCACAAGTAGTTGATATCTAGTTGATGTGTAATTGTGTTGCTCTGTTACTTTGATTATGTGCTCCCCTACTTTTTGGTTAGTGGCTGTTTTTTCTATAGGCTGATATATCCAATCTATCAACATGTATATCAATATCTACACTACTTTTAGACACATTTTGGTAAATTACTTCCTCCTAACTGAAGTTTCGACTCAGACATTCGATAAATAAACCAACTGGCCTGAAAAAAGCCATACGTTATCAAACTAGTAGCTGTGAGCTACGAATCTTCATCTTATGGTATACAACTGAAAATATTTCACTGCAAAAATAACCAAAACAAGCAGACCTATTACGTATTCTGTATACAAAAACTTTTTAGAAATTAAAACACAATAAAAATGATATATTCACATGTACTTTTTTAATTGTGAGCATAATGGTTTTAGAAACGAAATCGAATGTCAAAAGCAGTTATATCCAAGTGGAGTGAATTTATGGGTTACTGATGTAAATTTGATTAAACACTTTAAAAAAAAAGATTTCGAGAGGTGTACATCCAGTTAAATAAATTGTTATGATGGTATTTTGTTTTATTAACCGATATATATATATATATATATATATATATATATCAAATATTATTATAAGAGAAAAATAGGAGAGGATGCGATACATATACATATTTGTTATATAATAATATCAGGATCGTCACAACATAGAGAGATTATTTAATCGTGTAGTAGGATGTAGAAGAAATATGTTTATAAAACAATAGGATTGCACAAACTAACACTACTACACATAAACAACTATCTTGAGAATGGAGAAGGAAGAAAATGCTCTGACAATTTTCATTAGTTTTTGTTTGAAAAAAAAGTACAACCAACTTGGTGGTGACAATAACGCTTATCCCTTGAATGCTTCACTGGTTTATATATATATATATATATATATATATATATATATATATATATATATATATATATATATATATATTGCCTACACATTATCTTCTCATTAAAAGACAGCAACAAAAGAAATAAAATGAGGAAAATGCATACAACAAATAAAAGTGAACAGAAATTTTTAAAAATACAAACAAACAAAAGCCACATTAATTCGAAATGAGAATATGCACACGTACATAGGTTAAACTAAAAATTTGTGTTGAAAGACAACCAAAATTTATAAAAAGAACTTTGAGCAATATTAATAAGTAAGAACAATAAATGGAATAGAAATGGGCAAATATTACATTGTTATTAAAAGCATGCATACTATGTATATATACTGAACACTAATAATTTGTATTAATGTTCCTTGTGAAGCAGAAATTCTTTGTAATTCAACAAATGATTTGTACGTGTGAATTACTATACACAAATGCAATTCGTTTGTCTGTCAGTTGAAGAAGTAAATTGAGATCAATTAGATTACAAAATGTATGTATATGAGACACTGGAGAGTTTGGTGTGCATGTATTTTTAAAAATTAGTCAATAATGATGTTCTTAATAGAATAAAACGATGGAATATTAATGTAGGACGGATATTAGGAGGTCCGAAAATGGTAAATAAAACCAGCCAATAATTAAATTGTCACGTTAGTGCAGAATGTAAAGAAAAACAAATCCGGTTGATACAGCTATTTCAAGATATAATGGCACGTCGAAATGAAGGTGAAGATGTTAAGCTATCCAAACTACCCCATTTTTTCTTGGTAAGACATTTTTGAACAAGATCATGAAATTGATCGTCCATTACTCGTGAAAATGCCTAAATATAAGTTAGTAATCAGATACTTTCAGAAAAGTAGTTGTGTAGTCATAAATTTATATAATAATTCTCATTTTTACTCATTTTATTTCCGTTATACATTTATCAACACACTTTGAAGTCCGAATGCTCAGAATGTTGATAATTTACTACGATATTTAAGTCTAATCATCTTTTAAATTTTTGTAAAGGTCTTAAAGAATGTAGGACAGTTAATGGCATACTCGAACTTTTATTGTACAATAACATGTGTCATAGACGGATTACATCAAAATTTATTACGTGAATTAATTTATTTATCATTCCGAAATACTTTCATAACACCGTGATTATACAGTACGTCACAGAAATCGTATACGGGTATTCGTTCATCAGAGTATTATTTTACGTAGTTGAACTCAAGTACCACGGATTAAGTTGAAAAACTCAGGCATCTTGACAAGAGATTATCACATGACAGGTACTTCGTTGAATGTTTGAAAGATACTAGCTGTGGGGAAGATTACTGAACAGTAGTATCACAGTTCTTAGATAAATTATAGTATGAAACACTAAAATATGAGCTTGATTCTATCTAATTTTAAATCCGAATAATTACAGAGGTTAAGCATCATAATCAATATAGTTCATGATAGAACAAGCAAACCCTAGTATCTTGATACTATGATTTATTTATCATGTGCTTTGAAAAATGTCATATTTTATAGATATCAAAATGAAACAATATCTTACTAAGACTTCATGTTTCGATGGCATTTTGATATTTTAAAAAAACTGGACCTTACGTATAAATAAAGACTAACATCATATAGTTATTCGAACATATGAGTGTTATTTATTAGTCTCACAAAAAAACTTCTAAAACCTTTACTAGTTCTTATTTCATTAATTAACTTTTTCACAGGAAATGGGATAGATATGTCATAGTGATTCCAAGTCGGTATACTATCCCCATAAAATCGTAATAATGAAATTTGTAAACGGAATCGAGAAAGTTCGCATATATATCTATATATACCTCAAGTTTATAGGCACGATCGGTAGATAATAACGTTGGCTGATAACTAGGTCCACATAATGATCTAATATCAAAATAATATTTCGCATAAACTGAACTAGGTACATTAATATTGAATTGAATTATTTCCAAAAATCGTCTTTCTAATTCATTTCTAAAAATAAAAAAAAGAAAGTAATTTTTACAATAACAAAAAAGTTATCAATAAGTAGTCAAATAAATTTCTCTAAAAAAAAATTTAACCGAACAAAAAATACGAACACAATAAACTTGTAAATATTTTGAGAAAATGTTTATTAAAAGCAACAATGAATCAAAATGTAAACGGTACGTTCACAAATCAATTTAGAATGTTTACATAGATATCTAGAAAAAAACTAATTTTTAACCATTTTAGTCATTTGAATAAAAAAAACCCTACACGTTCTCATTTCTGTAGACAATTCAAATTTTTAGATTTATCCATTATGAGATTTTTTTTAATTCTTGTGTATAACAATCAAAATAGAAAGTTGGAAAATAAAATATATGGATCACATACAATTCAACGACGCCTCATATGCCATGTACACACATAATATCTTAAGGTTATAAGTCAGATGAAAGTATAAGTGGATATAAGTAAATTAATTATGCAGCAGTCAAAATTCACCATTCACATGTTCACGAAGTTTTCCTATCTGTAAGTATAAATGAGCTGTAGGTATTTTAATAGGCTTTTGACAAAACAGTTTCATATACAGTTTTGTCTCTACTCTCTGTCTAGTTTAGCTGTCTAGGCATGTGAACAGTATCTTTGCAGAACTACAAATGATAAAAGTATACCAAAGTTACAACTGCTACGTGTGGCATGATGCCTGAATCTTTAAAATACAAATAGAGATAGCATCAAAGAATCTCCTGCTTTGTTTTAGGCACCCGGGCAGTATCACAGCCTACACACAAATCAAGTGACTTGTGTGGCGCATATTTATTCGGTGCCCCTTCGTACCAATTTTTATGTGCTCAAATAAATCAGATTCTTGAACAAAAAGAGTATAGGTTCAAGTTCTCAAGGAATGTTATTAAAGTTTAGTGAATCACTGTGATAAATCTTGTGCCTCTCCACAAAGTTGGCTAATTATGTATGTATGTTTGAAATAAAAGCTTCTATCAAACTCAGGGCTCCAATCAAGACATTTGACCAACAGTAATTGATCTTGTAGAAAATTGGTGCGTTTTAATCTCATTATTTTTAGTTTATTTTCCAACCTAATCTTTGATACAGTTGGTACATGAAGCTTTGAATACAGTAGAAAGAAATTAGATATAAAACGGCATTGAGTTAAGGGAAATTTCATGTGCATATATCAACTCTACTGTACCTAAACAAAGACATTAAAAATTTTGAAAAAAATATACATATAGAGAGAAACCTTATCAGATATTACATTCTATATCATTTTTTATTGAGTAAAGTCAGGTGCTTGCAGCTTACATAAATTCACTTTACTTCATGATGTCAATAATGGTTAAAAAAAGCGTTGACAATCAGTAGTACATATTTTCATAGTCATTATTTTTTAATGAGGTGAACGAAAATATTACAGAATAATAAAAATTACAAGTTATAAAATTCGCCTTTAATTTATACGTGCGTGCACTGTGTTGATATGACATGGTGGTTGGAGGTAGTCAACAGGAAATTATGAAACAATATATTGTGCTATTCGGTACTCGTCAGCAAAGTGTACCTGTAATTTTGAGGGAACTGATGCTTCCTAAAGGACCCGATCCCGTGTCACCCAGCTTTACAGTCAGAGACGTTATCACTAAGCTATACAGGCCGCGACTGACCTTGTGTAGGCCTGGAACGTATTTACAATCGATTGATCACTGGATAGTGATCGACTACCTCCAACCAAAATAACACTTCTAGTTTAATCGGTTTGTCACATAAAACACTACTGACTTTGATAGCATAAACTAATCTCAGTCAGTCAGTCATCTAAAACGTAGAACCAGGCATATATGTGCATCGGTCCAAGTTGCCATATCTTATTAGCACAGGAGAACACCAAATTCATAGAAGCAGTTACTTCAATGGTAGTAATATATATAAGAAAAGATTGCATTTAGATATATGATACAGGGAGAAAGAATTGGTTCGTGGAAAGAAAGGTATAAAGTCATTTTAATCTCACGGTTTAAGGGAAGACAAAGAGTGTATATAAACTACTTTAAATGTCCTTAGTCATTGATTGTTATACACAGAATTCTTGTTTCATAATAATGAACAAACTGCAACGTAAATTTTTAGCCTTTTTTGTGATTTATTGTTCAGCAATTACAAATAGCACGAGTGTAAGAGTTTTATAAATTTTATGTGGTGTTTAGTATTCAATTCTAGTCATCCATACACACTCAAAAGTCACGTTAAACTCAGTAGATATTTCGAAGATATCAGTATTAAAATATACTATTTTGTTTACCATTCTAATAAAAATAGATACACAATCGCACCATATACTAAATAATTAGTATCTATGAGGACTTTGTCAGTGTCACAGATGAAACAATGTAATTAAAGAGTTGAACCTGTACACGTACGATATATAATTAACATTCTGATAACAACGTACGTTATCAAAATCAAAACTTTTGCTAAACGTAAGTTGAACAATTAAGAGTTTGAACTAAACAGCTGGTATTTTTTTTTCAATTATATACGTGAAGAACTAACTTTCAACAACTAAGCTTTCAATTTGAATCGGACTGTATCTATTACAGTTTAATAAGTCAATTATTAGTATCACTAATTCCTGTGTAAGAAATGTGACTCAAGATGAAAACAATGACCTATATTTTTTGTTACTGGTACTCATCATCTAAGAGATATAGAAAAGTCAGCAGAAAAATTACTGTTTTGTTTACAGATTGATGATAATAAGTTCAAAACAAGATGGAATTTACAAACGATTTAATGAAAAAAAATGTACATATATACAGTGAGAGAACCAATCAATAAATCACAAAAGTGTTTAATTGATCATCATAAAGAAACGAAAGTGAAATGTATTTTTATTATCTACTTAATGAAAGCTATTGCACAGTATGCGTGCTTCATCTCTATTTCATAAGATCAACTTTCATGACAATTGTTTATTTTGAAGAAGAAGAAGAAGAAGAAGAAAGTAACATTTATTTTCAAATAAAAGTTTAATTTGAAAACAATGTGGTTAAAATAAATCTAATCTATCAAAAATATGATCCATATACATTATTATACGTAGGCTGTTAAATCCGTTTTATTAGATAGTATGGTTGTGTAGATGTTATTAGTTAAACTTAACTCCCATCTATAGGGTAGATAATCTGACCAGTATGAAAACTGAAGTCACATAAACTTTAATTTACAAATTTTACAGAACATTAAACTTATTCTATTCAAAACTCCATACTTTTGATAATACATATGTCATTTATATCGTTTAAAACATCTCTGGAAGTCCTCAGAAGTCAGATTCTTCAGGTATCAACATTGTCTCATACAATTTTCTCAATTCCAAATAATTTGCTAAAGTCGTGTGCACAAACCATTTTCTTCCACATTTAGTCTATCAATGGCGATTGAAACACACAAGAGACTGTATGGATTCAGTTTCATTAAAACTGGAGATCGATGGTTGTTTTTGTGTTTAAAAAGTCATGACCCCTCATGAAACCTTAGGTTTACTTGAGTACCGTTGTTGTATATAATGTATTATTTTAGTAAAAACTAATAATAATTTCCTCATGAATTTGCAGTTTTCTCCGAGTTCTTTTTCGGGCACTCATTGGACAGTAAATGTAAGTTAGCTGGTCATCATAATTCATTAAAAATGAGTTGACATAAAAGTATTAACTCCAAACAAACTGTCGTTGTGTTATATATTCAATTCAATACAGTTCAAAAAAGAACTACTATTCATTTAAAATATTCAGCATTTATTTTAAAACCCTGGTAACAAAATAATTTCGATAACTTTAAAGAGATTGAAATTAACAGTTCTCATTAAAAAATTTAAGAACAAAGAATATTACAGAGAACCATCGTTATCGATAACTTTTTTATCAGGCTCTACAACTATCAATCCAAAATGATTATTATTGTGTTACAATAGAAATAATCTATGTCATAAATTGGAAATGTCAAATTTCAACTTTAATATTTTATCTATTGTATTATAATCACAATAATTTTGAATTGATAGCTCTAGAGTCTGATAAAGAAGTTATCGATAACGATTGTTCACTGCAATATCTTTTGTTCTCAATAAACAATGAATACAACTGTAATATAGATCAAGTCGGTCAATCGCAACGTAGAACCTAGTACGTATCTATATCGGTTCAAGTTACCATATCTATTTCTATACATGGAACGTCCGGACAATGTGGAAGACCAGTAAAATAGCAACGGAAATGAGAAGATAAAACTTGGCAGTACTGGGAGTCAGCGAAACTCATTGGACTAAAGCTGGACAACAAAGGCTAAATACGGGAGAGATGTTGCTATACTCTGGTCACGAAGAGGAAAATGCTCCACACACTCAGGGAGTTGCTCTAATGCTGTCCGAAGTAGCACGAAATGCACTTATAGGATGGGAATCTCACCGATCCACAATCATCAAAGCATCATTCAAAACAAAGGAGGGGATCACAATCAATATTATCCAATGTTATGCACCCACCAATGACAGCAACGACGACATTAAAGATCAATTCTATGGGAGGCTGCAATCAATCATAGAGAAGTGCCCAAGAAACGACCTCACCATTCTAATGGGAGATCTAAATGCCAAAGTCGGAATAGACAACAGCGGATATGAAGATATTATGGGACAACATGGACTGGGAGAGAGAAACGAAAATGGAGAAAGATTTGCAAATCTATGTGCATTCAACAAATTGGTCATAGGGGGCACAATATTTCCACACAAGCGTATACACAAGGCTACATGGATCTCACCGGACCACACTACAGAGAACCAGATAGATCATATTTGCATCATTGAAAATTCCGAAGGACAATGGAAGGTGTGAGAACCAGGAGAGGAAGTGACATAGCTTCAGATCACCACCTAGTTGTGGTCAATTTAAAATTAAAACTGGACAAGTGGACAAACAGCAATA